AATTATTACCCTCAGGAGTTAAAGGAACAACAAAGAATTCACGATCACAATTTTTTCTCAGTTCAATCATTTTTTTTCCCATCTTGCCCCACCGCCAAAGCACACCCCTTCTGAAACCCCAGCCTTGTCGTCTCCTCGCCTCCACACTACTGTACCTTTCCCCACCACTGCCGCTGCCGCTACTACTGCCACCACCACCCTCCATCGCTTCACAACCACCCCTGCTCATAAAATTCAACATCTCGTCCCTCTCGCTGACCTCTCTCCTCAAATCCTCGACGCTCGCCTTCAAATATGCCTCCACACCTCTTAAAATCCTTAATTGATAAAAATTCTCACCACCAGTATATATGAAAATAAATCCTTATTTGATAAAAAATAAATCCTTAATTGATAAAACTTTTCACCACCAGTATATATGAAAATAAATCCTTAATTGATAAAACTTCTCACCATCCGTATATATGAAAATAAGTACAGGTATGTAAGTTACCCTATTTTTTTCTTCACTTTCAGGATACCAATACCTCTTTTTATTTATACAAATGAAAATTCTGTTTAAACATCACCGAACCATTTTCACAATTAATTACATACAACCTCAATCACAAAAGAAAAGAGTTTCAGCAACCACACAAATCAGCTCACAAATGCACAACCACACCCTAAACATCAAAACACACCATCACTCGCAAACTCTCGACCCCATCGTCCACGTCGAAACCGCACCTTCCCCATCCTCAACCGGGCCCACGCACAACCCGCGGCAAAAACGGGCCACCCCCACCCCTCCTCACCTTCCCGGGAAACTCCTCACTATTATTACCTCCCTTCATCGACACACTTTTCCTGAACTTAAGCGATGAGAGCAGTGCACTCCCACCGTTGCTCCTCGCACCCACCGGCACACAATCACACCCCCACGGCCTGCAACGGTTCTCGTGGGGCCCACCGCTCTCGTCGGGGGCGCGGCAGACCGGGCAAGGGGGGTCGTGCGTGGTCTGGTCGAGGCAGTCGGCGTGGAACACGTGGCGGCACGCGAGGACGGCGGCGACGGGGGCATCCCCGCCACGGATGATCGCGCGGGACCCACACGGGGACCTCTGGGAGAGGAGCCTCCCGCAGAGGCAGCAGCGGGAGGAGCGGTAGTCTGCAGTGTCGGGACGGGAGAAGAAGGAGAGGGGGTGGACGGTGGCCTTGGGCATGAAGCTGCGGCGAGTGTTGCGGTGGTGGGTTCGGGCAGTTGGTTCGTGGTCGCAGCTGCTGTCCGAACGGGATGAAATCGAGCCCTCGCTGTTTCTAGCATCTGATGTTCCCTGCATATTTTCATTTTTATTTTTATTTTTTTTGGTATTAATGTTGTGCATTCCTTGGGGTTTTGCATTAGCATTTTACAAAAAAAAATCTGTTTTTGAAAAGAGGGAGTTTTGGAATTTTTTTGAGATTATGGGATTTTTTTTTTAAAGTTCGTGTAATTACAAGGGTAAGGTCTGCGTACAACTGACCCCCCAGACCCCAACCTGTCAGGAATATACTGGGTATGATGTTGTTGTTGTTGTGTAATTTGATAAACTTTGGAGGAGTTTCTGTAATTTCAGCCGCAGTAAAAGTACTGTCAGAATACGGATTGATGATAGATATGGTACGTACCTCCATGGCTGGTGAGAAATATAGCGGTCTGAAAACTACATCTGAGAAAAAAGGAATTTAAAAGGAATGTTAGCACCCTGTAAATGAAATATGGGAAATTCAAATACAAAGATGTAAGTAGCTGTTACACTACTAATCTTGAACTGGATAGAATCATACCTACATTACATCAAAAAGCACCAAAAGGTTTAAAAAATCCTTACAGCCACTCGTGACCGTACATAAAAAAAGGGGGCTCATTGCCAAATTAACGGAGGAAAATGAGGAATGTAGACTGCACAACCACAAAAAATAGGGCATCCAAATGCAATAAAGAACCCTAGCCTAGAACTAAGTGAAAGAAATCAATTTCAGCCATGTACGAGCCCATGTCAACATATCAGAAGGAAACATGTAATAAAATACACACATAAAGTATCAAAGACAAAAAAAATAGTTCATACTTTTCATTACCTCTACTTGAATTATCATAATCATCCATGCTGATTTCTTGTACAGCAGGAGGAGTCCATTGTTGGGCTGGTGACACATCAAGGCTGCTTAAATACGGCCCAATACCATCAGACACCAGAAACTGATGACCACTCGCGTAGTTATTTCCTCTAACCCATCCTCGACTATCTCGGCTATTTGACGATGCAGATGACCCATACAATTGAATGCCATCATTTGACCCAAACGAGAGTGATTCCGGCTGGAATGAAAAATCCCATCTCGATGGCGGAGGAGAATAGCTCGAATTTGTCCTCCAGTAAGGCTCATGTGGTCCCACAGACCAGTCTCGGCTGGCCGTGTTAGATCCATGTGGCCTTGCAGCCACACAACAAAGGGACCCCGTTTTAGCTATCTTTCACAAAAACCGGGAAAATTATTTTTTACACACCGGAACTGTTTTCCATTTCAGCTAGCCATAAAATAGGTCAAGATTGGCACTAATTCATTGCTTCTGAAAAGTCCGGTCTTTTATTAATGTTGATCAATTGAGATAAATTGTGAATCTCTCTCAACTATGCTTGACTACAGAACGAGAAGCTTAGGAAAATTGGTAATGTGCCTGCTTTAAGGAAATAAGCACAGGAATCAGCATGCAGAATCTTCTTTCACCTCAGAAAAGCCATTGATTACTAAAATGTGCATATATTCTCATCACACCTAGTGTTTTTCAAAATAAAATGCTAAAATAACAGACAACCAGGTCCTGAAAACAGGTATAAAGTTCAATTTGAATTCATACACAGCTATATATATACAGATGACAAACATCCATGAAAAAAAATGATAATCCTGCTGACTAGACAAAGTAAGAAAACTTGACCACTCCACGAAATAGATCTTGTAAGAATTATTGTGATCGAGGGCATACATTTTCAAATTAACTATAATCCTGTGGATATTGAGGATAAATACAGAAAAGATAGAACACCAGAGCACCTTAAGCTACATGTCAGGCAATAATGGATTTTTTATTTTTTATTTTTCCTGAAGAAAAGGAAAGCACAATAAAGATATTTTATCAGGTTGAAACAAAAGAAATTCAATAATAGTCAATTATTGCAGCTAACAATTAAACTCTACCCCACATACCAAACAATACATATATTGGACAAAATTCGAACTTACAGAAAATCTGAAAAAGCCCATAATAGAAACAACAACAAATTCACATCTAAATTTGGAAATTGAAGAATAAAAACTAAATGCCCCACAAAAATACCAAGGCCAAGAACTGAAACCATGACCTTAACAACCAGAAAATTAGGTTAGCATATACCTAGTTATGCAGAAACACACACATAGAGCCAACAGTATAGGGAGAAAACTTACAACTGGAAAGTGAGATGACTGATGAGCAGAGTGGAGGAGGAAAAGGCAAGGTGTCCTGAGCGGAATGTAAGAACCCTAATTTGGCGGAGAGAAGCGCGATTCTTTTTAAGTGGTTAGTTTGCATTTTGCAACTTTACGCTTTACTTTATATCTTATTATATTTCTCACCCAATAGTTTCTATTCATAATTGCGCTAATATCTCATCTCATTATTGTACTTTAAGACTAGACATATTCGATTTTAATCGTTTTATGAAAAGGGAGAATATATTTTTGTAAGAAAAGAAATAAGTGCCTTAAACGTGAAATATTAGTTTATTTATGAAGTTAGGTGAATTAAGTAGATTGTTTTAGGTGCATAAAATAATATTCATAGTGGTGAAATTATGTGCTAATCAATTATCTTTTTAGAGTTAATTAAAGAACTAATTGAGAGTTATAAAAATAAACATCTTATATTAATAATAACTTCAAATTTATGAAATAAAAATTAGTTATGGCACCGATTCCTATTTTGTTCTATTATTTTTTGTATTGTTTATTTTCTATTCTTTTTTTTTTTAACCAAACATCAAAGAGTACATCCGAATAACCAACGGGTTACAAAGAAAGTTCCTCAAATAGACACAACCCCATCCAAGGAACCCAAAGAAGAAACTACTTTCAGTTCCCCTAAAGGACCAAGAAGGCCACTCTAAACTAACACCAAAAATAAAGCGAAGAAAAACACCATTAGAACAAGTCAAAAGCTATACAACCATTCCAGCGTTAATAAAAGACCAAAAACACAGTCTATTCAGTAGATTAAAAATGTCTTCAACAACCACTGCAACCCTAATGTGAAATAGAATCTTTTTAGATAATTTATGTCTCAGTTTCTTATCCTCCATCTGAAGTTGTACTTCCTACCACCCTGCCCTCGTTCTACCTAGCAGCCAGTCCCTGAGTTGAATTAAAGTGTCCACTTTAGCTCCTCTTGTAATATGTCTTGTCGAAGACCATTCTTGCACTACTGAATTGTTGACCAGAGCTATCCCATGCATCTGAGTTCCTGCAATTGTTGATCCATTAGCACTGAGAGTTGAATCCAGCTCCCCTATTCCTTGCAAATCAATTCTATATGCATATATATATATATATCATTTTTTTCGGAACGACAGATGTTATAGATAAAAATGCACAAAGGTGCAAAGATACAACCCCTTGCTGAATTAGCTGAATTGTACAACTAACAGCTGAAAAAGCTGGAAGGACGGATCCGGAGATCGCCTAGAAACGACATTAGCAACGCTAGAAACCACAACATAACACTCACAACACAACAAATACTACAAACACTACAAAGCTCCCAAAAAGGAGAATTAGCGATCCCATCGGGATAATACCCGCTCACACTCAGGCACATACAGAGGCCAAAGGCCTAAACCAAAAACACGAACCCTATCAAACAAAGCAAACAAAGAAACACACCTGAAAAACAAAAAACAACAACTAAAAAACGAGTCATTCCTCAGCAAATTGATCGAACGGACATCAGACAAACAATCGACCCCAAGGAGAAAACTGCAGCCCGAGAAGCCGCTCCCGAAACTGTCGAAAACCGCTTAGCTGAAATGAAAACTCGAGCCCCGAACCCAACCTGAGAGCTGACCCACTCCCTCGCCGATGGAAACCAAACTCGTCCCCCTCACCACCACTGCCTCGAACCGGCCAACACCACTAGCCAAGACGGAAGCACTGGTCTCCCCCGGACCCAACACCAGAGCCACGAGGGAAAGGAGATTGAGAGAGGACCTCAGCCTCGAACACCGCGCCGCAAGCGACGCGAGCTGCTTGAGCCACGCCTAGTTCCCGAAACCACACCCCACCCAATCGCCACCGCAAGATCAAGGGGGCGGACGGCCAAAGACCGCAACCCAGCACCAGAAACGGCAACCGACCGCGGGAGGCCAACCTCAACCACCGGCGCAAACTGCGACGAATGAACGCGCATCAAGGCCAAGACCGTGCGACCAAGGGCCGACCACCGGCAAAAGGCCCGTCTACTGCTGAGGAAGAGAGAAAGGGGCAAGGAGAGAAAAATTAGGGCAACATTTAGGTCAAATTTTTATTTCTTCTAAATATCTATATTATTAATCATTAATTTATAATTTATCTATTACATCACTAATAGTTGTTATTTTTATTAAATATAAATAATTATGAGCTTTTTCCCCCTCAATCCATGAACCCTAAATGCTTCATATCAATCCCTAAGCAAATATTTTGTCTTGCACTTCTAGTGCAAAATTGTTTTTCTCATTTTTTATTATTCTTTCATCATTCTCTTCCCTTTCTCCCGTCAACTCTCCTTCCTATTCCCCATTCTCCCATCAGAATTTTCTCCATTTTTTTTGCGGGTGTTGGGGCAACAATCCGGTGAAGGAGGGAGTGAAGAAATCCGGCCGAAGACGATCGTGAAGAACTCTGAAGAAAGACGGGACGAACTTCAGCAAAAGACGGACGACCATCTCCGGCGAACACCGAACTCATCTTTTTTTTTTTCGGCGAACACCGAGCCCACCTTTTTTTGCGGCAAACAAAGTGATCCGTCATGTTCATCTAATCAAATTTTCTAAACTTATAATATGTAAAATAGATCATGTTCGTTCCACAACGGTGGTACTAAATGCTAATTTATAAGTACTGCATTACTTCAACACTGATATCGTCCTATTGCAATACAAGTATCAATTTTCTAAACTTATAATATGTACAGTAGTTCATGTTCATTCCACGAAGTCGGTACTAAATTTTAATTTATAAGTACTGCATTATTGAACATTGGTATCGTCTTATTACAATAAAAATACCGATTTTCTATACTTATAATGTGTACAGTAATCTACCCGTTCCATAAAGTTGGTACAAAATGCTAATTTATAAGTACTGCATTACTTCACCACTGGTCCCATCCTATTGTAATATATGTATCGATTTTCTAACCTTATAATATGTACAATAATTCATGCTTGTTCCACAAATAAGGTATTAAATACTAATTTATAAGCACCGAATTACTCCACCACTGGTATCGTCCTTTTGCAATACATGTATCGATTTTCTAAACTTATACTATGTAAAGTAATTCATGTGTTAGGGTATACTATAAAAGTTTGAATTTCAGTTTCTGACTATACCATTTTAATAAGGATCATGTTTTAGTCAAGTGCATGTTTGCATTTTAGTTATTTATGCGAACATAGTTCCTTTATTTTACATTGTCGTTAATATGGTTCCATGTGCCGAACAAAAAGATTATATTATCTGTGTCTTGTAAAATATAAATTAATTGTTCAGAGTCTAAACATAACTGAACTAACAATCGTGAAAGGTTGTAGTGTGATTTTAAATCAGTTGGTCTTTGACTAATGAATTACACTAGTACAAAAACAAAANTTTAGAAGGCCAATAAAAGTAGCTAAAGATTCGATTATTTCAAAAGTTGTTTGTTTGTTTGGTTTTATTTTTATTTTTGTTCTCAGTTTTATTGGTTAGTTGTGTAATTATTATTTTTTTCTCAATTACAGTAAAACCTCGTTAATTAATACTCGATAAATTAATAACGTCGCTAAAACTAATAATTTTTCCGGTCCCAAATTGGGACCAGTAAAAATTTGGAACTCAATCAATAAAATTATAAGATAATAATTTTTTTGAGATCCCAATGTATATATATTGGTCCCGACGAAATTATAAATTAATAATTATTAAATAATATATATATATATATATATATATATATGAATTATGATGCACTTTAAGATTCTTAAGACAACTTAGTAAAATAAGAATATATTGTAACTTGTTTTTTCTTGAACTTCAAATTTATGTTGATCTCAACTTTAAATCTCCTTACTTCACACAATAATTGTCGCATTGTCTTCTAGTATTGCAACAAAAAATTATGAATAGTTGTTGATGCTTGCAATGCTTCGTTTAGAGCTTGCAATGGTTCCAATGGATAAATATATAGTGTTGACTTCTATCCATGATTCAATGCACAAATGTTAGTCCAATGAACCATATCTTTTTATTTTCCAATGCCAATTAATTTAAACAAGTCATTCCAACTTCCACGTGAGTTTGTGTTCATGGAATTCTACTAGTACATTTGTATTTTAACTTAATTTTCATCAATAATTATGGATGTATACTTAAAGTTATTCAAAGAATTTGGAACTTTGAAGGTCAATTGTTCATATACATTAAAACCTCTTTAAATTAATAAATTATTAATTTATCGATATAATAATATCTCTATAATTAATAAAATCCTCATGTCTCAACATTATTAATATATAGAGGTTTTACTGTAGAATGTAAGCCAATCCTTCTTTTAAATATGAAAATTAGTTATGCAACAACAATACTCAACAAACAAAACATGTTAAGTAATAAAACCAAATATAATGTTGTTTCCTGCAAGCGACCTTTCAGACCCTAAAGACAAATAAATAAATCAAACATCAAAATGATAAACAACCTGAAATAGATAATAAACAAATGCAAATTTCTAAAGACATAAATAAATCAAACATCAAAATGATAAAAAAACCTGAAATAGATAATAAACAAATGCAAATTTCCCAAATAATTGAGCTTAAAAGCTCGTCATGGTCCACAATTCTTTGCTGCAATAAACCTCCAAAAAGAACACTGATTAGCAGGTGAAATGTCATTATGCCAGACCAGCAAAAAAATTCTATTTTTCTACATTTTTTTCAAAAAGGATTCTTAAAAAGGTCCTAAAATATTCACAGCTCATATGTACAAGAGCATAACATGTTTGTCACCAAAAGGAACTAAGATGTGAAATTTATTACATAAGTGATAGGCCTACACGAAAGTAGAGTAGTAAATAGAAACATGCTCATTAACAATCAAAGAGAATAAAATTTGAACCTGAAATATGGCCAGTTTTGACTTTTGTAGTTTAAAGTAATTTACACCTTTAGATAGAAAATTAAAATATTTTCACCAGATGAGATTGTTCCTCTTGATTCTTGCATCTTTGGTTGCTGGAATTTCGATTAAAATTATACAATCATATTTTTTCGCTATCACATACAAAAGTCCTATCAATTGAAGTCAACGTACCCATTTATGTCCAACTTCTCTAAAACTAAACAAATTACTTAATGCAACTGCCTTTTATATGGCATCGAATCCATTTTCACAATATTTTTTCTATTCATTTTTCGCATTAATCTTCCAATAATTTTTCTGAATTCTAGCCAGAGGTTGGGATACATAAACTTCGTTTACTATATATTGCATTTTTTGGGAGAAGGAAATCTTAGGTTGCAATAATCAAAACAGCAAAGTTGAGGTTGTAAATTTTATTTTCTGGAATAATTCTTCTATGTCATGTTTCCTTAATTTTGGAGGAATATATGCAAACGTACGAGAAGCTAAAAGTAGTCGAGAATCAAGGCTGTCTGAATTCAGGAATAGAAACTACAATTGAATGAGTTATATGACAATGCTGCTTACATCAGTTGTAAAAAATTAAAAATACAAAAGATAAAGAACAAGAATTGTATTTCTATCAAGGCATTCGTTATTGTTTCGCTTTGATAAAAATCCTGTTTAATACATTTTAAAATGAGCTGTAACATGGGATATTATTACATAAATATGGACAGAAGCTTTGTTCCGTATAAATGTTTGCAAAAAAAATGAATTATTTGTATGCTACTCCATAGACATGAGGATTTAAAATTGAAGCAGTGGATAAAGAGACATGATTGATATCAAGGCTAGCAAAACCTGTTCTGGAAATATATTCATCAGTGTTTCTTGTGAGATGACAGCCATCAGCCAATGTCTGCTGCAACGGATCAAGAATTCGCTGCACGAATTTAAGAATTGTTCCATCTGCAAATAACCATGGAAAGAAACTTGAAATTTGATGCCAAACCAAATTTAAGAGGATATTGATAATTTTTAAATAGGAAGACTGAAAATGTTTGACAAAAAGAGAGAGAGAGAGAGAGAGAGAGAGAGAGAAGAGCAAGTGTTTGAACATTACAAAAGTTCTTTCTAGGTTTTTGAAAGCTTTTGAGAATTTAAAATACATGGGAGAAACTTACTACATTACAAATATAGGGAGGATATTTTTTTTTATTTAATATTTTTCATTATGGAAAACAGTTAAATCATTCAAATCAAATCATCAGACATATTTTGGAGAAATTCTCCATTTTAGGAAAGAGAACTGGACTATAAGATCAATAAGCCAAAGATAGTGTAGTTTTTATAATTATCGCTCATCGCTAAATTATATTATTTGTTTTATTTATCACCTTTTGCTCCCACATGCTCCACAAAGATGTAAATCCCACCAGGCTTAAGCACCCTCCTAATCTCTGTACAAGAAATTCAAAAAATTAGCCTTGCAGAACAAAAGAATTCTTAGAACACGCAATCTCTGAATATAGTTGAAAGCAAAACCATAATTGCCTTTTACATTAATTTTATTTGAATGCTCAGTAGTTAAAGCAGAATCTTTTCTTACGATATATACAAATTGGAAAATATTCTTGAAGTAATATGATGCTCACTGCAACTAAAAAACTGGATCGCAAATATAGTTCATATTGCTGGTAGCATTAGATAAAACTCCAGAAGGCTCGGGTTATTGAGTCCAGAGAGTGTAACGAACTAGTCCGTTTTTAATGATACTCATCCAGAGACAATTGGCTTTTAATGAGTAAGGACTACCAGCATAACTCGTGTTTTAGAAGTGATCCATTGAGACAGAACCAAAAAGTAGTTGAAAAGAGTGTGTGCAGTGAATAAGTTGTAGAAGTACTTAAGCTAAAAGTTGTATTGGTTGAAAGAGAGTTGACAATGAATAAGTTGTATAAAAATTATGCAAGCCAGAAGCATAAATTAGTATTTGAAGCTACCAAAAAGAATACTGCTCTTCTTCTAATTTTCTCTATATATAGTTTAGTTATATAAAATTTAAATTTGAAACTAGAACCATTTCTCCGCTTTCTTTTTGGCTCGGCAGTGGCAGACCATAACAAGGATTGAAATTGTAATTCTCCATCTCACAATGAATTTCAAGGATTCAAACAGCTGTTTAATATCAAGTCATAATATAATGCCTCTATTATGGAATACCACTGCACTTTTCTGAGGAAAGAGAGGAAAATTAAGGTAAAAAATTTAGATTTAAGGATCGGAAACGAGCCTAAATGAAAATTAGGGTAAGAAATAGGAGTTTGACTCAGAAACAACCGCTTCTGATCACACTTCGGTGAATGCAATTGGGTTTCACATCAAATAAAATACTAACATATTAGTCTCCATAATAAACTCTATGAAATCATACAGGATGGAAAAATCCAACTTCCTCTAAGTTTGTCCTTTTTCCCACCACATCAAGATTTTCATTGATGGGGGGTTTTTCATTGATGTTGCTAACATTGCTTGTGTTTTAAAAAAATTCAAAATACAAGTAATGTGTTTTTAAGATAATATTAGGATTCAAAATACAAGTAATGTGTTTTTAAGATAATATTAGTAAGCATCCCGTGTGATGCACGGATAGTTTTGTGCCTTAAAACCTTTTTTCTAAAACTTAATTTTAACATTAAATTAGCCCGTTGACCCGTTTATATTAATAAAAATAATATTTTAACACATTTATGTATTTTTTAATACAAAAAAATAATAATAATTTTGCTTATTTTTGTTCATCATAATACTCAAATATTATTTTAATCTAAAATTTATTGTTATATAATGTCATTATTAATATTTATAACACTTATAAAAGTAATATTCTTTTTTTTATATATATAATGATAAATATTTATTATACAATAATATTATTTATTTATTGGGTCGCTTCCAGCTTGACGATTTCCTGGAGGGGGGAAGGGTTCGCGGCTTCTTCTTCGTCTTGGTAGCGGCGACTGTGCTTAGCGACGGGAAATACGAATGGAATAATGTTATTTGAAGAGATTATATAGAACTTAAGATAAATATGGAATACACCCCAAAAAATCTGCAGTCAATCATTTCCTTAAATATTTGAGTTTATATTTTTGACAAAAAAATTTCAAAATATGCTTGGGCGGGATTTCCAAAAATTTTCAAAAAAAAACTACCATATTTAGTAAATTTTTAAGTGGGAATCCTAATTATTTTTTAGTTACTATTTCATGGTTTTTTGGGTTGTCTCTTTATATAATAATAGATTTTATCACTCGAATTTT